TTGTTTTTTTTTTTTTTTTTTTTTTTCTTTGGCTTTGATATGGTTGAAACAAACCTTAAATGGCTTGGACACGGTTATAGACATGATTACCTTTTTCTTACCAATCTTTTTAAAATTAAAAATAGAATTATAATAAATAAATTTCCTATTTTCTTTAAGTGTTAGTTAATTATTTTATGTAAAGTGACAAAGTTATAGTATTGATACCTCTTAATTACCAAATGTTGATCAATTTAGTAATTTTTTATGATATACATACACATACATATATATGTCGTGTCCCCATGTCCTATGTTTTTAGACTTTAGCTATATCTAGGTGTTTGTGTTGATGTTGTGTCTGTGTTGGAGTCGGTGCTTCACAGTTACTGACTTTTCATGACTTTTTTGAGGGAAGAAGTCAGTTCAAAAGAGTAATTTTTCCCTTTCCGTTTTGGAGAGGAAGCCTCCCTCAAGAAATCCCTAAGCTGAAACCCAAAGAGAGGATGAAAAAACAAAACAGTGAATATTTTACATTCTTAGATTGATATGTGTAATGATTTCCCTGTAGTATTCAGCATGTTTGATTATGCATTAATTGTACTTGTAGTTCTGAACATATTCAATCAGAGGATGTTGTTTGCTGATATTCAATTTACATGTAACTATTCTCATCTGTAGGTCTGGAAAAAGTTCACCCAGTTTGAGCAAACTTATGGGGATCTTGCTAGCATGCTCAAGGTAGTAGCTTCAAATTTGTTTCTATACAGCATCCTTGCAATAGCTGGTTGTTTCTTTAATGTCATTTTGATGATTAGGCTTATCAAAATATTCTTTGTGATCCCTGATCTTTTGAAAGAAAAGCCTTGAAGGAAAATATTGGGATAAGATGATTTGTAGATTGCATGGATTAGCAAATAGTTGACAATTGACATTGATTGAATAGGATTTTAGTCAAACATCCCACTTTTGCGCTGTTGCATTATGACTGCTTTTTTAAATGGACGGAAATTATTTGAAAGAGTACAACTCACTGTTCTCTTTCTAATTTTTCCATATCAATACTCAATAACTGGAACTAACCTAAATTCTTTGCCATTGTGTAATCAGACAGACTTTGTTTTTCAGCAATAATATGTAGAAATTAGATCTTGAGGGTTGCAAGAGAGTTCTATTAAAATAATGTCAATTCATAATATGTATTTTTTAAAAATATTTTTGTGAAGTGTAATCTTTTAGTTGCTTATGATTGTAGAATGGACCGAACATGGAAAGGCAGTAATCCACTTGTCACTTATCCTTGTAAAATTATATAGGTTGAGCAACGAAGGAAAGAAGCACTTTCTGGAGGGGAAGATGGTACGGCAGTATTAGAGAGTTCTCTGCAAGACATTGTATCACGGTACAGTTTTATGGATCTGTGGCCGTGCTCCTCTAATGATCTTGATCATTTATCTCGACAAGAGGTACAAGTCGTTAAATATTAGAAACATCTCATAGGTGATTTATTTCCATCTTAGTCCATGTCATAGTTGTTGCAAACATTAGAAATATTATGTGAAATTTGGGATACATGATAATGTGTATAATTCAATGGTTGGATTAGTTAAAATTATATTCTACAAAATGATATTGAAGGTGTAATTTAACAAACTTTGACATATGGTATCAACAGATCTTGACCATACATATATATATATATATATAATCATTGGGGATCTATATTCTAAAAATAATTCTTGATAGAATTATTTCACTCAATAATTCATTGTGTATATTGAATTTTATGGATCCAACTGTCAAATTAAAACTTTTATTGAATAGATAAAGCTTACGAATTTGTGCAAAGTTTGAAAACTACTTGATAGTTGATACTCTTGCAGTAACTTGATCCTCTGCCCCCACACACAGACACATATATCTCAATTTTGCATATGGTGGATATTAAATTGCTCTATCCAAACTAAGAATTTATAATTTAAGAAATTTGAATTTGTTGAAGATCTCACGTCGACAAGTGATATTGTCAATATAGATTATATAAGGAGGGAGTAATCATTTTATAAGTCATTTTGTAGGGTTGAGTTAGACTCAAATTTCACATCCTTAAGATAGTTTCAAAGCCTATTCTAATGATTGTTATTGGACTTATCGTGCCACTCCACTCATTATCGAACTACTCATAGATGTTCAATCGTATAAGCTTCACACGCAGGATATGTCCATTTCTAGACGAGAGGGTGTGTTAGAGATCTCACTAGTCATATGACCAAAATAGAGTATATAAATGGAGAACAATCCTTACCTTTCAAGCCGACTTTCTATAGATGAGTTAGGCTCATAACTCACTTTTCTAAAATTGCATATCCAAACAATCATATTAATTTTTTAACTTTTCCTTTAACATAAATTCTTATTATCTTTTTAGTAAGGCAATGTTTTTGGCAAACCATAATTTATTGAAAGTGCCTCCATGCAATTATTATGTTTAGAATTTAGATTGACTAGAATTAACCTATTTTTCTCGTGAATTCTTGTGCTTATATTAGTGACGTATACAGTAATTCAATTTTCATTTCTGCCTCTTTAGTGGCTTGCCAAAAATTTCAATAAGAAAGTGGAGAAGGCTATTTCGCTTAATGGGGTGACTCTTTTAGGTACTGATATTATATTCATTCTCTCACTTAGTTTCTCAATGTTTCTTATCATGTGGTGAATGATACAATAATTCTAACACTTAATTTCTCAATGTTTCTTATTAGTGCAGATAAGACATCTATGGCAAGCATTTCAACTACGACAACAAAAATTGTTTATCCTGATACTTCAAAGATGGTGATATATGATCCAAAACATACTCCTGGTAAACAACCCATACTGCCCAAAATTGAATTATGTTTTGTTCCAGTTAGTTACTGTGTTTCTTTTCCTGTGGGATAATTTCTTCTACTGTAACTCTGGAAGAGCTTGGTCTCCCAATCTTTTATATCATATATTGAGAGAATCTGGCCACTATGGTTTGATCTTCTGTGTTCAAAATAAATTCAATTTAGCAAGTATGACCTGGATTTTTTAATATTCATAATTTTAAACTTCTACCATTTAACTATTTATGTGTATGTTGCATATTTAATTATTGATATTTAGCACAAAAGACTGCATGACAAAAATGCAATGAAGAACATTTTTTCAGCATCGAATTATTGCCAAGATAGTTTAATATAAGAAGTTTAAGGAAGGAGTTATTATTTCCTGTTTTATAGTTCAAATTATTTCATTTTCCTCACTGAACAATATGACAAAAGATAACATGTTTATTTTCTTACGTGCAACTACACTTGGAGTGAAGACCTTGTCTAATCTAATTGGCAGTTGCAGGTTCTGGAACAAATGCATTTGATGAAATTCTTAAAGCTACACCACCTGCTTTGGTCGCATTTTTGGCAAATCTACCTGCAGTTGAAGGTAATTTCGAAAATTCTGTTGACTATTATTTCTTATCCATTATACTGTACTTCTTTTCTGAAATTTTATATGTAAATGTAAAAATGTATTGAAATGCCAATTAGAATGAGTTCTACTTATTGACTAGCCAATATTGGGAGGTATTTTATGGTAATTCTCCTTTTTTCTTCTTTGTTCCTACGTTGGTTCTTTTGTTTCTTCTTCTTCTTCTTCAGTATGCTTCCCTAAAGATTTTGTTATTTCCAAGTTTAAGCAATGCGTTTCTGGAATTTCTGCAACCATGAAGCTTTTCATTCTTAGTTTGTCAATGCTAGTGCTATCTACTGCAAGTTGGCTCTGAATTTTTACTTGTATGGTTTTATTGAATAAGTTAGATGAGTCTTGTATACATTCTCTGGGTTTGCCAAACATGGTTTTTAAAATGATATATTGCTGTTTTGATGGATTATAGAATGTTGGAAGCAAAGTGCCATAGCACAGTTAAGGAAAAAGTCATGACTTAACTATTTTCCCAGAGTTACTACCTTCACTATTATTTTTTCTTGCCAATTATTTCTCTCTGAAAGCTGTTGAGAAAATAAAATGTTTTCAAAATTCCTCTAGGTCCAATGCCAAACGTGGATATCGTGCTATCAATTTGTTTGCAGAGTGATTTACCAACAGGACAAAGTGGGAAAACAGGGATTCCAACACAAGTACAAAGTGGTAAAGCAGGGATTCCGGCACAGTTGCCAGCAGGTCCTGCTCCTGCTACAAGTGAACTTTCTGGTTCAAGCAAGTCTCACCCTGTTCAAAGTGGCGTATCTATGAAACCAACCAGTAATAGACAATATGGGAAAAGGAGGGATTTAGATAGTATGTGCACCGTTCATTTATACTAGATTTTATAATTATATTTTCTTTGGTCTTTTCTTTCCAATAATTCAATTTATATGTGTGCAATTCTACTCAAGTATTTGAACCGAGCTGTGGAATTTCTGGTACATTCTCTGCATTATCTAAAAGGGATTTTCGTGTTGTCGGTTTTGTAAGATTGAATGAATTAGTTTCATATTTTACTTTCGTAAGAACTATAATATCCATAGTTTGTCATGCATGACTTAGTTATCACTATGCCACTTTAAGAATTCATTTTATGCCACACCTTTTAAAACTAGTAATAGTAAGTAGGCATTATTGATTCTCTGTTAAAGCTGGGCTGGTAAGGCTAAATTGCTATGAAACGAAGTTTGTACAGAAGTCTAAAATTAACGTATCTGTATAATTTCTGCATGAATTGGTGCTCATATTTGCAGTATTGTTTTCTTTTGTGCCTAGTTTTAGTTCAACACAAGTAAACTTGTAGCAACAACAAATGAATTAACTAAATAAGTATTGTTTTGGTGGTTATAAATTGCACATCTCTAAGATTAGACACCAGTTTTCCAACTAGTACTGATTTGCTTTCTTTTTCATGTTTTGACTTCAAAATTAAATTCCCCACCATCTGATATCTATTATTGTAACAATGTTTAGGGCAAGAGGATGATGATACTACAACTGTCCAAAGTCAACCACTTCCCCGAGATGCTTTCCGGATACGTCAGTATCAGAAGGCTCGAGCCAGCAGTGCTTCACAAACAGGATCAGTTTCATATGGAAGCGCATTTTCCGGCGATTTATCTGGAAGCACTGGTTGTTAAAGTATTGTTAAACCACTTTTTGGAGGCCAATGTAAATTTGAAAGACTTTCCATGAACACATAACATTATCCATTTGCCTGTAGGCTTATAGATAAATTATGAACATGATGTATATCCAGGTTCCTGCCTTCTTCATTTTCTTGTTTCTTAAAATTATATGACAAGGCAAAAGGACTACAATCTTTGCACTAGTGTAACATCAGCTCTTGGAAGCATTAATGCATCAAAAGGAGCTTGAACTTTCATGGAAGAACCATACTTGTCTCTGAAGTGCTAGAGTAGAGACTGATCTTGTAAAACTATTCTTCCCATGCAGGAATGTAACATCTTTTACAAAAATGTTGTGTATTTTTATTTTGCTATATTATTGGAGGTGCAAGAAACCCGGTTTCCTAATGAAGGATCAAGTTTTCAATATAATGATTGTACAACATTGGCAATTTAACATTTATTTTGTGAACATATTAGCACGCGGTCTTGCATCTTGAGATTTAATTGAATTGCTTTCTTTGCTTAGAGCATGAAGTGATGCTGAAAATTGAAACTGAAGTTCCTGTGGTCCAGTTGTAGTGTCTAACCTAACATAGTGTGTATATTTCAATTCCAAAAAGGATGAAATTGAATGACTTTTCCATGCACAGTAAAATGCTTCAAATTCTTGTAACCAAGAGGACTTTTAGATTTGTGAGAAAAAAAATAGTATTTTACAACGCAATTGCTTGACGTTAGATTTAAGTACAAAACAATCAAAACAAATCAAGAGAAGATGAACAAGACAAAAACTTAACTTTTTATATAAATCATAAGATAATTTTGTCTAAAGTACAAAATAAACAAAAGATAAAAATATTTATATTTATTTCTCATTAAATAATTATGTTTTCTTTTTCTTTTCTTTCCACAACTGTAATTATTATTGTTATCATTTTGTCACCACTATTTTTAATACAGATGAAAAATGAACATGTGAGCACTAGGTCGACCTTTTATATCACAAGCAGGCCTCAGAACATCGAGTAAAAATACTTGTTCTTTATGTTCTACCTGAGTATGTATAAACACATTTACAAAGATAGGCCTTTCATGGTTCATGTTAACTGGAATTAGGAGCAGTAGTAGCTAATTTTTAAGGAATAGATCTTACTATAAGGTTCTTAACATTGTTGCACAATAAATATTGATGATAATCAGAAAAGATCAAAGTTGTAAAATAAATTACTCATCATAGAAGTAACACAAACACTTAATCTTTTGCCTTAAAATGATTCCAACTTCACTGGGTAGCCTTACAATTGAAAAACAACCATAAGAAAATCCAGTCATTGCATGAACAAAATAGTTTCAAGACAAATTGTGAGACCTGGTGGTAGAGCTCTTAAGAAAATAATATTGAGAATGAGATATTTATTTAATTAAAATAAAGATTTTTCTCCTAAGAAGCTTCTTTCTCAACAGCAAACCACAAAATGCATAATTGACTTCTATTCTCATATTTCCCTATCTTTCTTTTCCATTCAACACTCTCCAAATAGAATTGCCAACTCAACATTCTCCTACTGCTCTCTTCTTTTCATGGACATGCACTTTCCAAACCTTGGGCCTCGTAACATTTGGGCCTACCTATGAAACACAGATGACTTTTGCTAAATACACCTTACTCCATTAGTAATATACCTCCATTACTTTTTTTCTCCAAAATGTCCTTTAATTTTATCTCTATTCTCTAATTTTTGGACCCCACAAACCCCCCTTTCAACTATATGAAAAAGCATACGTCAGGAAAATATATTCACCAAGCACCGTTTTTTTTTTTTTTGTGACTAATTACTGTTCTATAGAAGTCATTAAATAACTACAAAAGATTATAAATATAAAAAATGTAATTTAACCCATTAATTCATTATATTCTATTAAGGAAATAATGAAGAAGATGTAAAAAATTAGGATATATAAAAAGTACATAGAGAAATTAGGTCCAGCCTCTAATTCAGCTGGTAGATTGGCCTTACTAGCCTCTTTTAGTTGAGACATGAAACATCAAATGGACCTTAGAAGATGGATGCAAATGTAATTTGAGTCATATCTCCTTTCTTTTTCTTTACACCTAAAAGGGACCATAAAATAATGGGGGAGTTTTTTATTAATGAAACATGCCCCAGATTATAGTTGTCTGTGCGGGCACAATTTGTGGAAAACTCCACTTCAAATAACTGCATCCTACGCCCTTTATTAGCACTGGGAGAAAAGAGAGCCATGTGACACTTAATTTTTTAAATATAAATAAATAAAAACAAGTGGTTATTGTGTGAGAATGTAAAGAATTCGTTTTGTCGTACGATTTTAATTTCTCAAATTTTAATTAAATAATTTTACTTTTCAAATATTATAGTTGTGTAATTTTGATCTCTCAATTTTTAATTGAATAATGTTAATTTCTTATGCACTACAATTTTCTGATTTTAGTTTATCAAGTGCTCCAATTAATTTTTTTTTACTTATTTAAGTTACATATATTAGCCTAGTGCATATTCGGAATCTACTCAACCAAACGCACACATCATTTCATTAAACAGAAAACTTATGGGATTGGGGGCCAATTCCTCTACCCTTCTTCCATACACCCAATCCCCAGAAATGAGTGTTCTCACTCCCCCTTACCTGGAGTGATGCAATGTATGACTCTAATATTTTTCCTCTTCTCTGGTGATCCCTTCTCCTTGTTCTCCAGATGTGTTCTCTTCAAAACACCCAAGTGTCAGAGAACATGAGATGAAAAATGAATAATAATCTCTCCCTTTCTCCCTTCTCTTCTAATATATAGCTTTTATTTATCTAAACCCCCTATTATCTTAATTATTTCTAATATTCCTCTAACCAATTAAATATATTAAAATGTATAAAATAAAAAATTATTAATCACAATATAAAAAAAAAATCATCCTCATCTCCCTAATTAATTATTATTATTAATTAGAAAAAATCCTAGGGTGTTACACCTCCTTTCCTCTTCTTTCCGGTTCTCATGTAAACCCCCTTACATAAAAACTCTCCACCTATTTTAATAGGTAATTTTTTTTTCAATTTTACATTACTACTTTCTCCCATCCTCTTTCAGTTTTCATACTATTATTCTCTCTCTCTCCTCTTTTAGTTTTACTGTGCTAGTTTTTGACAGTATTATAAGTATGTGTGACTTTCTCGACAATGTCAAAGGTATCGAGCCAAAAGTGCATTTTTTCTTTGAGCACTTTGCCCCATTTATATGTCTAAAAAATGTGACATCAAATAATTTTAGTATTTTAGAGTATTTTCTAGAATAGTAAAATTAGTGTTCCCTAAAGTATTTCAAAAACTTAAGGATAGACTCCAAGAAGAGACGCTAGCCAAAGAGCAAGCCCAGAGAGAACTGTTCAAGGCCCAGACTGAAGCTCAATCTTGGTGGGAGATCATGCAAGAACAAGCCGCGACCATCTCCGATTTTCGACAAAAGGAAGAAAAGGGGGTCGAGCTACTCAAGGAGGTCACCCGTCAAAGAGACCAAGCTCTAGAGGCGGTACAGGAGCTGAAAACGATGAATGGATACTATCAGGAGAAGGCCAAAGAAGCACGCTCTGTCTGCGATCACATGAGCATGGCAGTCCACGAACAAGCCGAGGCAATGAAGAGGCATGTTTTGGATGCAGAGGATAGCGTACCTATGCGCCAGCCTAGCTTGAGTTTCTTCAGACTTCTACGTTTTTGCCAAAGCATACTGAAAAGCATTGCATAATGAATGTTCACTAGACAAACAAATCAATGAGAATGATATTTGTTGAATTCCTCGATTGTCTTTACATCCTAAATTGCATTTCATTTAGAACATACACTTTTCTGGTAAATTTATAAGGAACAATAAATAAAAAAAAAGGAAATCTAATCTATACATGTTAACTAGATAATGAAATCGCTTATCATCAAATGCAAACCCGAGGCCTCTCATCGGGAAGCGCTGCATGAAAAGTCAGCAAATACTCGAGAAAACGAACGGCAAAACGCGCCCAAGCTTACCGTCTGAGTGCCAAGTCCTTTCCCCTACGAAAGCGACAAGGCAGTACCATGGGTTTATGATGTGCAAAGCTAATTTTAGTAATAATATATATATATATATATATATATATATAATTCAATACATAAATAAAAATTATAATATGTGTTATTTAAATAGGTCAAATGTTGAATAATTGTGATACTTAAGAGACTAAAATTACTTAATTAAAATTTTAGAGATTAAAATGCATAATTGTAATATTAGAGGAACTAAAATTGTCCAATTAGAAATTTCGAGACCAAAATCCCACAATTGTAATACTAAAGAATAACACAATTAAGCCAAGAATATATAACCACTAGTAGTGAGTGAGAGTAAAAATTATTATACATAGAAGTGAGAGAGTCATAAATGCAAGAGAAAATTGTGTCAAAAATGTAGAGGAGAAATAAAAGATAATTATTGTATTTATATGTAAATTTTGTTAAAAAATAAATATTAAGTGGCTCAAAATCAAAATTTGATGAAGTCGTTACTAAGTTTTAATTTTTGCATTATTAAATATTAATGGAAGTGACAAATTGATGGGATAATTACATTTTATGAAGGGTCAATTGCCTTTTGCTTATATAAAAGCATGTGATACTCATTTGATTTACACACCTCATAAAGGCGATACTCACAGCTAGGTACAGATTTACCACGACCTTGACATGTATTACCAAATCACTTGTGGAGTTTGCCCACCGACTACCCGCAAGGATCCACGTACCTTCTCCAGTACTTGGTTAAGGGAATAAGCCTCGACCTCATACTCCGCTTCAACACTAGCTAAGGACTTAGATGAGACTCACCCAACCCAGTGGCCTACCTGAGCACCATTGTCACCCAAATCCAGTGGCCTACCTGAGCACCACTCTCATATATCAGTAGCCTATCCAAGCACCACTCTCAAAAGACTCTATGTGAGCTCTTCCAGTTCGAAAACATTTTCCCTCTCCTCAAGTCCTAGGCTAGACTCATGCCATAAGGCATCACATGCAATTATGCATCACACATCATACATGGTCTACCCACCATCATGATCAATAATCATACTCATGCCATAAGGCATAACATGCAATAATGCATCATACATCATACATGGTCTACCCACCATCATGATCAATAATCATACTCATATGAACATATACTCATGCCATATCATATTTAAACATTCATATATATCATTACCAATCATACATATGAATCACACCTCACCATGCATCATATATCATACATACATGATAAGACTTCAACTTTAAACATGCTTAAGCATCAATTTAAATTAATCATTTATAAACACATTCACGCTCGGCGCAGCCAACTCACGCCCAACCTAACATCCAACCAGAGAGCCCTAAGCTCTTTCACGCCCGATGTGCTTAACCTGCAC